AGTTTTCCCAACCAAAACGATCCTCAGAGCATTGTTCTGATGCTCAGCCATGTTCATGTAAAACGATTTTGGCACTTAGATAGACCTTAAGGAAATAAAGAGGATAATGCCAACTTAGGTAATGGAAACCATTCCCAATTCTCTTTTATCTCTTTCTCACTCTCTCTGAAAATTCATAACATTATATTTTCCAAGTATATTTCAGTACAGACAGAAATATAAGACAGTCCAATTACTAGGTAAGTGGGCTGGGGATTTAGCTCAGTGGTTCCACCGCCTGCCTCACAAGTACAAGGTCCTGAGTTCAATCCCCAGTACCAAAAAAAAAAAAAAACTCGGTAAACGATAAAAGAGAAATTAAAGAGTTTCTGCACAATGGAGTACCTGGCCTAGATGATTTCACAAACAAGCAGTATTAAACTTTTTAAAAATCTAATAATCTCAATGCTAAACTGTTCCTGATCATATAAGAATGTCCCCACTCCCACCACCAGACCACATGCCAATATGCTGGCCCGTGCCCAAAGCCAGAACCAAGGGCGAATGCATTCACATCCCTGCCCCTGCCACCTGCCCAAATGCTCATGCCAGGACTAAGGACAATCACACCCATATCCCTGTGCCCACTGCCACTGCCACCAGTTATAGCCAAAGAAGCTATAGGAAAACTATGCTCAGTATCCAACTAGAACCAAAGCAGAGTAGTCTTCAGGGAAAGGCTTTGATTATGAAAGTCATCTCTTAAAAATGATAGAGTCCATTGATATGCGAGATGTGGAAATATGATCATAGAAGCAAAGGAAGTACGAAAAACAAAAGAAAACCTGATGTGGTGGTACACACCCATAATCCTACCACTTAGGAAGCTAAGGCAGGGTGATTGTGAGTTCAAGGGCAGCCGGAGCTACATAATGAGTTCAGTCCAATTCCCATCAAAATACCAAAGATACTCTTACAAAACTAGAGAAATGATCCTAAATTTATGGAAGTACAAAAGACTCCAGCTAGTCAAAGCAATCCTGAACAACAACAAAAACAAAACTGGAGGCATTACAACACCGATTGCAAAATACACTACAGAGCCACAACAACCAAAACAGCATGGCACTGGCATAAAACAGACACACAGAGCAATGAAACAGAATAGAGACCCAGAAATAAACCCATACATCTACAGTTTTACTTATTTTCAACAAAAGTGCCCAAAACACACTGGAGAAAAGACAATCTCTTCAGTAAAATGGTGTTGGGAACCTGGATATTCACATGCAGAACATTGGAACCTGACCCATAATTCTCACCTTAAGCAAAAATTAATTCAGAATGGATCAAAGACATAAAACAACTAGAAGAAAACATAGGGGAAACACTTAACATATTAGTATTGGCAATGATTTTGTGGCTAGGACCCCAAAGTCACAAGTAACAAAAGTAAAAATAGATGGATGGTGTTATATTGAGCTAATAAGCTCCTGCCCAACAAAGGAAGCATCAACACAGCAGAGAGACAACTTGCAGAATTGGAGGAACTTTGCAAGCTGTTCATTTGGCAAATGATTTAAACAGATATTTCTCAAAGGAAGAAATATAAGTGGCCAACAAATATACAAAAAAAAACTGTTCAATAACATTAGTCATCAGAGAAATAAAAATCAAAACCAAAGCCGGGCATGGTGGTGCACACCTGTAATCCCAGCACTTGGGAGGCTGAGGCAGGAGGATTGCTGTGAGTTCAAGACCAGCCTGGGCTACATAGTGCATTCCAGGTCAGTCTCAACTTCATAGTGAGACCCTGTCTCAAAAAACCAAAATAAATAAATAAAAATAAGAACCATAGTGAAACATCATCTCACTCCAGTTCAAATGGCTATGATCAGTAAGACAAAAAGGAACATGAGTGAAGATGTGGAGGGCAAAGAACTATCCTGCACTGTTGTGGGAATGTAGATTAATACACCTACTTTGGAGAGCAGAATGAAAGTTCCTCAAAAAACTAAACACAGTCCTACCTATGGTCCAGCTATCTCATTTTGGGCTGTATCTAAGTACAACGAAGCCACTATTCCAAAGAGATGTTTCACACCCATATATGTTGTGGCCTTGTTCATAATAGCCAGGATAAGAAATCCACCTAGGTCCCCATGAATAGATGAATGCATAATGAAAACATGGTGCATATACACAATGGAATGATAATAAGTCATGATAATAGCAAGTCATAAATGATGAAATCCTGTTGTTTTCAGAAAAGTGGATGGAATTGGAGGACTTTTTGGTAAGTGACCCAGAAAAATTAGTATTGCGTGTTGTTTCTAAAATGTAGGAGCTTTTTAAAAAATATTGAATGTATGTTTATTTGCTATTTCTACTTCTTTATCTGAGAATATCTTTATTTCAAGTGCCCATTTTTTTACTGGGTCTTTAAATTTGGAAGGTCTGATTTTTTAATGTTCTTTATATATTCTAGAAAGTAGACCTTTGTCAGTCTCTTCATGCTATTGGTGGTTTCTTTTGCTGTGCAGAAGCTTTTGAATAAGAAGAGATCCCACTTGTTGATTCTTTGTGCTAGTTCAACATCACTGGTCATTCGAGAGACACAAATGAAAACAATGCTGAGATTCCACCTCAGCCCAGAAAGAATGGCTGCTATCAAGAAATCAACCAATAACAAATGCAGGACTTGCTTGCCTAGCAAGTGCAAAGCCCTGCATTTCAGTCCCCAGTACCAAAAAAGAAAAAATAATTTAAAAAAGAAATGATAAGGAGATGGACATGCCAATTTCCCTAATTTGATCAAAACATCATTATTGAGCCATATGAATATGTATAATTGCTACATATTCATCAAAAAGAAAAAAGGTAGAAATGCTAACACTATTTTTATGAAACAAGTTAAACACTGATTCAAAAAGATTCTACCAAAAAGAAAACTACACACTGAGATTCCATCTCACCCCAGAAAGAATGGCTTGTATCAACAAATCAACCAATAACAAATGCTGGCGGGGTTTTGGGGAGAAAGGAACCCTTCTCCATTGTTGGTGGGAGGGCAGACTGGTACAGTCACTGTGGGAATCAATATGGTGATACCTCAAACAACTAGGATTGAAAGTCCCATTTGACCCAGCCATCCCTCTGCTGGGTATCTTCCCAAAAGAATTAAAATCATCATACCACAGTGATATATGCTCACTTATGTTTATAGCTGCACAGTTTGTAATAGCTAAAACTTGGAAACAGCCCAATTGCCCATCAACTGGAGACTGGGTAAAGAAGATGGGGTTTTTTTTATATAAAATGAAGTACTACTCAGCCATAAAGAATGAGAAACTAGAGACATTTATAGCTAAGTAGATGTGCATTGAGGACACACTCTTAAGTGAAATTAATAGGACGCACATGTATAAATACCATATAGTTTCTCTGGTATGATAAACTAAAAGTATAAATAAGGGTCAAAATATATAATTGAGGAGGGTGAAGGGAGGGTGGGGACAAGGGGAAAAAATGAGAACCAAGACCTGGCATGTAAAGGTACAGGATCCCAGTAATGAATGTAACTGTACTGTCTACCTAGAATGTACCAATAAATTCAATTTTAAAATATATATATATATAAAATTGATATTTTGTAATAGGAAGAAAAGGTCTGAAGGCATTGGGCAAATGGGAGAGGTAGGGGAAAGGTAAAAAGGGAAGAGAAAAAATAAGAAAAAAGGAAAAAATGGAAACAAAGTCGTCGTAAATAGGGAAGGGTAGAGGGAGGAAGGAAGGGCAGAGGAATGGGGAAAAATAAGAACCAAGATATGTTATGTAAAGGTACAAGATCCCAATGATTAATGTAACTGCATTGTATACCTAAAATGTGCCAATAAAAAATATTTAAAAAAGAAAAACTACAGATATGTCTTATTATGGATATTGATACAAAAATCCTAAGTGAATGATTAGATACTAGCAAAGAATACATTATGTTAGAGATCTATTGCAGAAATACTAAAGTGATTGCATAAGATAATATCAATTGTTAGGCTATATCCCATTAATAGATTCATATGAAATTCGATGCAGAAAAGATGTTTGACAAAGTTTCATGTTAATTCTTGTCTGAAATATTTTATAAAATAGGAACAAGTAGAGACTTGTTTAAATAATTTTAAATAAATACAAATTTCATTTTGTAATCATCCTTTTTCTTTAGAGGTAAGAAATTGATGATACCATTTATTTGGATGAAAAAAAAGACACCAAGGAAAGGAACAAAGAGAGAAAGGTACCCATATCTGACAGTAAGTCCTTACAGTCTTCATAGTTAAAAGGAATAGGATGAGGCCAGGGATTTACTTCAGTGGATCCACTGCCTGCCTCGCAAGTACAAGGTCCCGGGTTCGATCCCCATTACCAAAAATACCCCCCAAAAAAAAAAAAAAAAAAAAAAAAAAAAAAAAAGAATAGGATGTTGTGGCTGACTAGACACATAGAATTGTGTAACAAAAACAGAAAATTCAGATACAGACCACCATGCACCATCTTATATTCATTTATACTTAATTTAACAATCTCACATTACATAAAGCAGTATTGCCTTCCAGCTCTAAACAAAATTTGCCTTGAGGGCTGGGGATGTGAGCCAGCAGTAGAGCACTTACCTAGCAAGCTCAAGGCCCTAGGTTCCATCTCTAATGTTGTAGAGGGTAGAATCTGCCTGGAAGGCACCACTTTCTTATTAAAGTTACCAGGCAATGCTCTGTGTCTATCACATGCATTTGGTGGAAGGTTATTTGTTCATCCTATCAAATATAAGATGCATGGACACCATGCTAAGCAATCTCCTTACATCCCCTTCACCCCCACCACTACCATCTGCTGCACCTTCCTGGGACAGTGCTGGCACAGCACCCCAACCCCTGCAGACCAGAATCCACCCACACAGAGCTGCCCTGTCCCCAACTGCCCCTCTCAGCTCCATGGCTTGGGATCCTCTTCTCGGCAAAGCTCACCTTCTTTTGAAGGAGCTGATGAGTTCTCAGGTTTTCTCCAAGGAGGTCTTTGAGCTGATGCTTCTGCTTTTAACTGTGAGATGAAAGTGTTTGCCCCTCTGAAAACCTCTCAGTCAGGAAACACTGATTTGGGTGGAGCCAGCAAGAAGCTGTCTCTTAAGAAACAAAAATATGGCTCTACAGTTTAGTGAGTGCTTCAGTTTTGCCAAGTTGAAATTTGTTTATGTGACTATTGTAATACTAAAACTTTCAAAGCGGTATTTTTTGTTTCAGGATACAGGGCTGGATTTTTGAAAGCCTTTTAAAATGACCCAAGTGGAATGGAAGCCTGATGGCTAACTTGGGAACGAAGGAAGACAGGTATTTACCTTTAATGCCTCCAACTATAGAGCCTGGGGTGCTTCTTGGTGATTGTACAACAAGGATTTTTTTTTTAATTGTAGTCTTTCAGGAAGGTCTTGAGTTACTCATTCAAAAATTAGCACCACTGAGGCACAAAGCCAAAAGGGCCTAAACCATTAGGAAACAAAAGTGGGAAAAAAGGAAGGTGAGAATTCTGCTAATGACCCCCATAGTTTCTCTGGTTTTTCTACATTGTTCTTTGAAGTTTGAAAATATGTATAACCTGACAGGTAAAGATGCATGCAAAAGCTCAGAGCTTGTTCTGCTGCTGGATGCAAGGTAAATGTAAAGTTTAACTTACTAATAAAAAAAATATAAAAGAGGGGCAGGGAATTTAGTTCAGTGGTTCTGCCGCCTGCCTTGCAAGTGCGAGGACCTGAGTTCTATCCCCTGTACCAAAAAAAAAAAAAGGGGGAATATTTCCTCACACTGTCCTGGCTTTTACACAAATTGACTTAGTGTATCTGGTTTCTGTTGCTTCCTATAACAAATTACCAAAAATGTAGAGAGTGAAACAACACAAATTCATTCTCTTACAGTCCTGGAAGTTGGAAGAGACAGTGGCAAAACTATCCACTTTGGGGGCTCCAGAAGGAGAATCAACCCCCTTCTGCTTCTGGAGGCTGCTGGGGTTCCTTAGCTACTATCATCACATTGCCTCCTTTGTCTTTGGAGCTTCTTGCCATTCTCCTATCAGCACTTCTGTGATTAAATTTACAGTCTGCTTGGATAATTCAGGGTAATCTCTCCAAGATTTCTGATTTAATCTCATCTTCACACCCCATTCTGCTGTGTGAGGTAACACGCACAGGTTCTGGGAATTTGACCAGACATAGTAATTTTTGAAGGCACCTTTATTCAGCCTGCCATAATCTGCCCTCTGGTTTGCAAACATTCATGTCGTGGCGAAGGAAAAGGATGCTTAGAACTGAAATCAGGAAGCAAATTAAGAGCCTGTCATGGCCACCTGAATCACTCAGTAATTTCACCTCTCTAGGATTTGCAATTTGATTTGCACAATATCTGCTATTGTCTTCATTTCTTCCTTTTGGTTTCAATTTGACATTCTTTCTTTGTTATTTCAATCCAGGAATACCATACATAAGGTGTTCTCAACTGCTTTGTTATAAATTATAAATGTAATGTAAGAAAAGAAGGGAATGGAATTAATATGAGAAAATGAAAAATGGAAACAAAGTCTTTATAATTAGGGAGGGAAGGAGGGGTTGAAGGGAGGACAGGGGAATGAGAAGAAAAATAAGAACCAAGATAGATTATGTCAATTATGTAAAGGTGCAAATTTCCAATGATGAATGTCACTATATCATCTACTTAAATGTACCAACAAAATTAATTTTTAAAATAATAAATAAAATGGCTCAAACTTACCAGGGATAAAGGAACAATTATAATGTATATATCAACATATCACAGCATAAAAGTTTTGTTTCTCATAACCCCTTATATTTTCAAGAAATGAGCACTAAAATGATTCTCGTCAATTCACTTGTGCACAGAAAAAAACACATATCCTGCCTCAGTCACAGCCGTTTCCTGCCTTACCTCCTCCTCGTTATCTTTTCTGTCACTGAAAGTTGTGGTCAGATCACAGGCAGAAAGCCATGTTACAGGGCCCATCACTCTTTCTTCATACCTGCTAAAGTGTTCACAAGAGCTGGAGGGAGAGGATTTGGCCAAGAAGAAATATCACCATGTATACTGACCTGTGCTGAGAAACCTCCTAGGGTCCTCCGAAGGCCAGCCCAAGGGTAAGAAAAGAGTCTTCCTGAATCCCCAACCCACAACAAGGCCACGTTCAGGGCAGGCACTTTTGACTCTGACTTGAGTACTTGCGGTGTTTATGCCTTTCTAGATCCCAAAAGTGAAGTTCTCAAGAACTAAGTATCTCATAACCAGTGGAGCAGTCTCATTGTTCTTGGCTATTATTTATTATAAAGTAAAGTGATTTGAAAATTTTATTTAAATGGTTCACTTCTAAACTATGAAAGATTGTGACTATTTGGAAATATAGACAGCAGTGTTGCTCTCATCCTCTGTAAGTGTAACACACTTGTTTCAGAGAACATCAAGGACTTCCAGATCAAGACAGCAGCCTGGAAGACAAGGAAAGATAATACCCAGATCCACATTTAGCATTTTTTCATTCTAGTACAACAAATACAGGAAGGGAAAATACATTTCTATTATAATCATGCATTTCAGTGCACAAGAACAGTCAAGTGGGACAGAATAGAAGATACAGAAACATCCCCAGACTCATTTCGCTATGTGATCTTTGACCAAAGGGCCAAAAGCATATGATAGAGGAAAATGGCCTACTCAACAAATAATACTGGGAAAACTGGATATCTGTTTGCAGAAAGTCAAAGATGTACATATATCTCTCACCATGTTCTGCACAAAAATCAAGACTGATGAAAGATCTAAACATTAAAACAGAAACATCAGAGATGGGGACTTAGCTCAGTGGTTCTGTTGCCTGTCTCTCAAGCACAAGGACCCAAGTTCAATCCCTGGTACCAAAAAACAACAACAACAAAACAAAAAACAACAACAACAAAACAAAAAACAACAGAAACATTAAACCTACTAAAGACAAAATAGGTAAAACACTTAAAGTCATAGGTGTAGGAAATGATATTTTAAAAGAACCCCAATGCAAAGAAATAAAAACAAGAACCAATAAATGTCATTATATCAAATTTAAAAGTTTCTGAGCAAGAAAGTAATCAATTAGTAGAATGAAGAGACAATGTACAGAATGGGGAAAAAATTTTGCCAGGTATTCCTCAGACAGAGGACCAATATCTAGAATATGTAAAGAATTTTTTAAAAATAGACCATCTAAAATAAAAGGCCCAATTAAGAAATGGGCAAGTGGGGCAGGGGTTTAGCTCAGTGGTTCCACCACCTGCCTTGCAAGTGCAAGGTCCCGAGTTCAATCCCCAGTACAGAAAGAAAGAAAGAAAGGGACAAGTGAAATGAATAGACAGACATTTCTCGGAAACAGCAGTACAAATGGCCAACAAATATATGAATAAATGTTCAATACCTCTGGCCATTAGAGCAAAGCAAACTAAAACAACACTAGGATTCCATTTTTCAACAGAAAGAATGGGCATCATCAAGATATCAACAAGGGCTGGGAAGTAGCTCAGTGGTTCCTCCGCCTGCTTCACAAGTGCAAGGTTCCAAGTTCAATCCCCCATACAAGAAAAAAAAAAAAAAAGACGTCAACAAAATAACAAATACTGGTGAGGCTGCAGTGAAAAAGGAACCTTCCCACATTGTGGAGGGAATGCAAACTAGTACAACCATTAAGGAAATCAGTATGAAAATTTCTCAAAGAACTAAAATTAGAAATTCCATATGACCCAGCTACCCCCCTTAAAGGTATCTTCTCCAAAGAGCTGAGGACATCATACTATAGGGATACACACATAACCAAAGTTTATAGCAGCACAATTCATAAAGGCTAAATCCTGGAAGTTGCTGGTATACTCATCAATAGATGAATGGGTAAAGAAAATGTGCTATTTATACATAATGAAATATTACTCAGCTGCAAAGAAGGATAAATTTGAAATATTTGTAGGAAAATTGATGCATAATATAATGTTGAGTGAAATAAACCAGGCACAGAGCTTAAATACCACACAGTATCTCTCATTTGAGTAAGGCAAACTACAAACAAAGAGAATAATAAAGAGTGAATAGAAGGAAATAAAGGGATAGATCTCTTGCAGATGGGAAAGGGGCCAGGATACAGAAGACAAGGGGAGGATGGGAAAGGGAAGTAAGCAGAAATATGGGAACTTAATAACCTCATGGAATGTAACCATCAAACATGAGCTGAATATAATAACAAGAATGAAAGTAGAGAAAAGGAATTTAGGGGTGGAGTGAGAAAGGTAGATGGGAAGGAAAGGGGGCTAAAGAAAGAAATGAGCTCACAGGTACAAGATCTTGATGATGAACGTAACTGTACTGTGTACCTAAAATGTACCCATAAACTCAATGAGAAAAAAAGAAAGAAATGAGCTATACTATGTACGTGTTACATGTAACCACTCCTCAAGATAAATGTAAACATCATGTACTGCAAACTTGCACTAATAAAAAAAAGAAATCAAATGATTACTATTTGCAGATGACATGATCCTCTACATAGAAAACCCCCAAAATCCACCAGAAGACAGAATTAATGGCCAAATTCAGTCAAGTAGCAGGACACAAAATCAACACACACAGGCCAGGGATTTAGCTCAGTGTCACCACACCTGCCTCTTAAATGCAAAGTCCTGAGTTTGATCCCTGATACTGAAAACAATAACAACAACAACAACACATGAAAATCAATAGCATTCCTGTACACTAGTAATGAACCCACTGAGACAGAAATTAGGGAAAAAACGCCATTCACAATGCCATCAAGAGAAATTAAATACTCAGGAATTGACCTAACTAAGGAAGTTAAATACCTCTACAACGAAAACTACAGTACCATAAAAAAGGAAATCTAACAGGATGTCACAAATTGGAAGGATATCCCCTGTTCCTGGATATGCACAACCAATATAGTCAAAATGGCCATACCTCCAAAATTCATGTACAGATTTAACACA